ATTTGTTTACAAACACTCGCCTACTAAACAAGTTAATCCAGAAGAAAACTGAAACTATGAAGAAAATTGAACACTTCTGTGATAAAATTCCTTACCAAGCAAGGAAAGAACGCTCAGACTATTTTGAAAAAAATAAAAATTGTTTATGGAAACAGTGCCCTAAATAAGTAAATCAATGATTTACAAGTGGCATGGTCTTTTTAAACGTGACCAGGAGTCAATTAAAGATGACCCCTGGCTTTCCTGCTCAGGAAAGCCAGTTGAGGCCGCCACATCTGACATCATTTAAAACATGGAAAAGATTGTACTGGAGGACACCTGTTTGAAGAAAAAACAGTTATCTGTTTTTTTCTTCAAAAAAAATACTATTTGTTTTTTCCAATTTAAAAAAAGAGGTATGGGGAAGGAATTTTTCCAATGACAATGAGGTAAAGGAGGCAATTTTGGCTCATTTTGAAGCAAAAGATAAAAAATACTTTTATGATGGCATAGAAAAGTTAATTCATAGATCTGCTTATATTTATATCATAAATAGATTTTTTGTTTCAATTTATTTAAAACCCTTTCATTTCATGACCTTCACCCCTTGTGTATATGTATATGTATGCACTTACACACACACACACACACACACACACACACACACACACACACACACACACACACACACACACACACACACACACACACACACACATGCACATGCACATGCACAAAAAAACACTCATAAATTAATACAAGGTAATGTCTATAGTACAATTAATAATAAAAATTATAAAAACAACTAAGTAATACTAAATCTTTCAAGATTATTATAATATTATTTCATCATCAAAATGATATTTTTTCAATATATGTTATAGTTTATATATGTTTTAATATTTTATTTATCTTTTTTTTTCAACAAAAATACACTAGTAATCAAATTACTCATTTTTAAATACAAATATGTTTTTTATGTAGATTTCATTATATATTTTAGTAAGAAATAAAATAAAAATAAATCATAAACATACCACAAGTTTGCATATATAGAAAAATACAAACTTATTTTTTAAATATTCTTTTAAACAAAAGAAAATTCATGCATGATAAAATAAACATATATATATGATGTCATGCAATACTACATATATGATGTCATGTAAAATACACATAATTGTGTGGTTCCTCAAAAAACTTTTTTAAACACTTTTTTAATTTTTTTTCACTATTCTGCCCACAGTGGGCCTAGAGGTGGAATTTTTTGAGAAAGCCTATACAAGTTATTTATTTAGAAAATCAGATAAATTTTTGGATAAATTAAAAAAAAATTATGCATCCAGCTTATTTCTAATTGATAATATATAATATTGAAGTTGACGAATTTCCAAATTATTTTTGTATTTACGGAAATTTGTGAAATTCAGTTGGTTTTCATTTAAAACGAATTTATCAACATGAAAGTTGCTAAACCACTCATGTAAAAGTTGTTTTTAATTTGATATGGAATATATTTTTGAACAAAATAATTTTAAATGTATAATTTATTTGAATTACTCTTTTTTTATTGAGTTTTTTAAACTTAACTAGGTAATTTTGTTGTAAATTTATGTTGTTTTTTTTACAAAAAAACAGAATAATTCTTTTTCTTTTTTTTTCAAAAGTGCTAAATTGCCTCTACTGTGTCATACATTTTTCAAATATATTACATTTCTTTTTTTCAAATATTTTAATGGGAACTGAGGCAAGTTAGCATTTTTTTAAATTTACAGGATATAAAAAGGTTGAACAGTGACTATTTTTTTCTTTCTTAAAATATGAAAATATTTCATTTTTAGTTAAAAATATGAAAAATATTTAACTTTTATATGTTTATTTGATTTGATTTTGTTTGTGTTTAGCATAAGTAAAGTAAACTAAAAAATAAATGTAATGAAGGAAAATAAAAAATATAAAATACATCAAAAAAGTAAATTTTTTGACACAATTTATAAAAGCCGACTAAACTATTAAGGCAAACTCAGTTAAATATTCTGCCATAAAAGAAATACTTTGAAAATGTGTGTGAAAAAACATGGAAACGTTATAAACGCCTGAAAGAAAAACATTTAAAAAGAAAAAGGATATGCATTTATAACTTCACAATCATCAAAATATACTATTAATGAAGTTGAGGATGCTAACAGGACTGTGTGTTTCAAAAGAAAAGCTTTTATAGAGCTGGGTTAAAAGATGAGAAACTGGGTTAATAAGATAAAAAAGGAGAGAACACAGGTGTCAATTACATAAACAACTTTATCACTAACGAGTGCCCAGAGTTGCATGTTAACCAGTTATTGGGTTACCTCTTATATAGATTTAATACACAGTAATTAGACATAAACAACAGGTAACAAGTAATAAGAGTACTGCTTGACAATGCACTTTTTAAAAACCATATGGAAAACAATAGATACCTTCCTTTAGCACATTGATTCCATAGCTTTAATGCAATTCCTTACACTAAGTAAGGAGCAAA